TGTATTCGGCATAGTCATCCATGTTAGGGTGCATGCTTTATACAGAGTGGTAGTCTAACGTTAGAGTGTTGGCTCAAGACGAAGACTCAGGTTCGATTCTCAATTTTACCACATGTATAATGCCAACTGGCTATGGTGTTATAATGAAATGTAAAAGCAAGAGAAAAATAGTCTTGATTTTCCGCCGAGACAGATCCTATTTGGCGTAAAGAGGAACATAGTTGTGTAAATTATATGAATGGGCCACTGAAAATCAGTATTGACATCAGGCATCATGAGAAACGCGGCGTAAAACCATATTTTCTTCTACAGAGTCAATAAGTAACGGGAGTCATTCTATAATTAGCTCAGGGGCATGTCTGACACAAATATCCCGTCCTTGAATAAAACACCTAGACTTGCACACGTCTCTAAGGCAATAATTATTTGTTTAAATAATAAGTTCTAGATTGTATAAACAATAAGATCAAGTTTTCCCTATAAGAGACTGGCGTCCTTTGATGTACTGTCCGCTTTTTCTAGAATCGCCTTGTATAAGGATAGAATTACCATACACCCATGGAGCAAGGCCATAAAACACCCCTACAAATGCCTATCCCTGGGGACAAATGGATGAAATATTATCCTGGGATTTGCCTCAGCAATTTATCAGTTTTATTCCCTTGGTGGTTTGGTTTTGTGTCACGGCGAAAAATGTTACTTCGAGAAATATGTATGGGTTAAATCAATCGCAAAGAGCTTGTTGGTAGTGATGTATTGTTGGCGATGTGGATTATCTCCCTTGATTGGTGTTGAGCTGAAACCGCGCTGGTATCTCATGGGACTCCGGTGAAGAATTAGTCTGTGGAACAATATAAGCTCTTGTACAGAGGCAGCTCAAGGGGTGGCCTGGGCTAACATTAACACATATGCTAGCTCTATAGTACGTGTATATTACTCTATAGGAGTAAGCGCTATAAGATTGATTTGTGTCAGTAGGCCGTGAACCTTCTGTGGGCACAAGGAGGTTTTCGATGAACTCAATGTCTGTCTTTTAACATTGCGCTCTGTAGCGGTTGCGTTGAGGTCGCTTTGTGGAACGAGGTTCGCTTTTCAAGGTCAGGTCTGTAGTTACTTCCTGGCTGGTTGTATTGGTGTACGATCGAACCGTAATATCACCCGTAAATGCTTTACTGTACCTGATATTAATTAGATTAATCGATATCAGAACACACGACTTCAAAATGTGTGATTTCTGGTATGATTTGATGATAATTCGCGGTGTGGAGTTGTCTGCGCCGTACCCGTTCTAGTGGGTTTCGCCAAGGTTTTAATCGTCTGAGGCCTGCATCACTGCGGGCTTTCCTCCCACATCAAAGGGAGAGAGATAGAGGGAAATTATTACACTCGCATGTGTCATATTGATTTTACGAAACGAGAGTCAGAATTCTTGTATTTCCGTGAGGGCGATGGTAATACATGAATTCTTACATGAGTTTCGTAAAATCAGTTTTAAACACACGCGAGTGTAATAATTTCTTTACCCATTATTTCTTAATCATTTTGGGCCCTATTTAGAAAAATACAATGATCACGATCGCCGTCTTGAAAAAAGATATTGTCGAATGACGTCAACAATCCTCAGTTATGACGTCGTTTCTAGTTTGACGTCATTCAAACCTTACGTCACAATACTATTCGAATGACGCCAATAATGCCGTCCGGATGACGTTACCAATACACTGGTACCTGTGAAGTAATATTTGAACTAGTGCACATACGAATGTTTATGAACTCGGTTATTTCTAACCCTATGTGTAATATCATAGAATAGCTAACCCCTGGGAAATGTATTACACTTGTCTGTATGAAGGAACTCATTTGGGATCGTCTTCCGAGTCATCAGCGTCAAATGCTCCGTCTTATAATGCCGTGGAACAGACAGGCCGTAAAACCGGGGAATACCGAGGACTTTGTTGATATCGAGCGCAAAATAAATGCATGCTGAAACACCATGAAAGATCTAAACACGTAAGATATATGGTCGGTACTGTAAAAAAACTACACATGCTGGGCTAGTCTAGACTAAATGGCCCATAACCGGCATGCTGTTTCCTCTGTTTTAATGGTATTACCAATATCGTGCGGCTCTACATTTTATTCAATATCGAAGTATCGATAAATCCCAGATAAGATTATGAGTCAGAAAACATATCTACCTTTAAGTGAATGCCATCGTGACGTAAGAAAATAGAATTATCTTGTTTAAGTACCTTCTCAAACCGGGATATGCCCTAACCCTGACTCCAAGATATATATGTGTGTTACAGGGGACATGCCCTAACCCTGACCCCCAGATATATATGTGTGTTACAGGGGACATGACCTAACCCTGACCTCCAGATATATATGTGTGTTACAGGGGACATGCCCTAACCCTGACCCCCAGATATATATGTGTGTTACAGGAGACATGACCTAACCCTGACCTCCAGATATAAATGTGTGTTACAGGGGACATGCCCCAACCCTGACCCCTATATATATATGTGTGTTACAGGGGACATGCCCTAACCCTGACCCCCAGATATAAAGGTGTGTTACAGGGGACATGACCTAACACTGACTCCCAGATATATATGTGTGTTACAGGGGACATGACCTAAACCTGACCCACAGATATATATGTGTGTAACAGGGGGCATGTCCTAACCCTGACCCCCAGATATATATGTGTGTCACAGGGGTCATGACCTAACCCTGACCCCCAGATGTATATGTGTGTTACAGGGGACATGCCCTAACCCTGACCCCCAGATATATATGTGTGTTACAGGGGACATGCCCTAACCCTGACCCCCATATATATATGTGTGTTACAGGGGATATGCCCTAACCCTGACCCCAATATATATATGTGTTACAGGGGACCCCTTCTAACCCGTATTGCAGGGGGCACTATCCTAGTGAAACTGAAAGATATTTAACTTGTTTAAATGATAAAAGTTTAATCAGAGCTTATTGTAAACATAGAATTTCATTGCATAATTTTAATGTAAATATATGTCGCAGGTAAAAAAACGGTGATATTATTAACTCTATTTGTACAAACTGTTCATCCGGAGAAGTAGAGGATGAATACCATGTCTTACTTACATGTGAAACGTATTGCCATTTAAGGTATAAATTTCTCCCCATGTTGCAAGGTACTTTTAAAGACCGTCACTTAATGATAAATCTGCTAAACTCTGAAAATCCTGATATGATCCATGCTGTTTCTGTATTCTTAAAACATGTCTTTAAAATGAGGAATGTGTAACTTGATTTAAAATCTGATCATGTACATCACGTGACAATGTTAATATGCAATCTGCATTGTACTGTGGGCCTTGGTGCCTAAAATACTGAATAAACTGTCTGTCTGTCCGTCTGTCTATCCTAGTATATATAATCTGACAAAAGCCAAACAATTACAAACGATATCAAAACGTATCGGGTCTTCGGCGGGATGAGCGAACGCTTGAACCACTGGGCTTACTGACCGCACCACCCCACCCAACCCAACCCCACCCCCACCTCCCTCCCCCTCTCCAAGCCCTACAAATCAAATGGATGCCATGGGCAGATACAGCTTTTTTTAAAAGGGGGGGTGCACAATTAAGATCTATTTATTGTCTTTGGTGGTAATTTAGGGGGGGGGACCCCCCCCCCCCCCCCCCCCTCTCTGTATCCGCCCATGGATGCTCTCTTGATAGAAATAGACTCGGTATCGTGTATATATTTTCTGGTTTTCTCCTGATTTTGAAAGACGTGTACGTATATTAATACAATATCTGTCAAAACCAATAGGCTAACGACATTAAAATTTAATGCAGTCGTTCCGTGAAAATATTTGGAATGACATTACTTAAACCTATGCCCAGTTTCATGCTTTTATCATAAAGTGCACAATTGACTCTATATATCTCTCTATATGTCGAAACCCGTGGAAATCCGGGGTAGAATAGGTCTTCAGCAACCCATGCTTGCCGTAAAATGCGACTATGCTTGTCGTAAGAGGCGACTAACGGGATCGGGTGGTCAGGTTGATGCATGTCATCGTATTCCAATTGCGTGGATCGATGCTCATAATATGAATCACTGGATTGTCTGGTCCAGACTCGATTATTTACAGACCGCCGTCATATGTAGCTGGAATATTGCTGAGTGCGGCGTTGAACAACAAACCAACCAACCAAACTCTATATGTCGATACCCTCTCCACTTAAAGCTATATCAACTATCCAGTGGTTTTAATTATAACTTCTCACTGAGCCGGTGTATGTGATCGTCGCGACGTTGCGCTTGCTCTTGTATCTAGATGCATTGTACATAAGGTTATGTCCTACATAGTTGAGATGTCACGTGATAGGTACTCAATCTGTACTGACCTAGTTATTCTGTGTAGCTCGAGGGATGAAAACATCACTTCTTGCCCGACAGGTTCAATCGACAGTTGGCCTTTGACCACTCGTCATAAAGATTAGCAGGCGACACTTAACATTGACGTTTTAGAATGTTATATCATTTGTTACTCGTTGTCAGTGATTCTAAAGAAAGTGAGAGCTGTTGTTACCCTCACTTGATTTGATTTATAATGCACCGAACAATGTAGCAAAAGTTTGTTTCCACGAAATCTGGCGTTATAATAAAAAAAAGTTTGCCAACTTTTTGAGGGGGGATAATATTATTGAAATGTTCCTTTTCCGATTAAACAATTTTGGAAAAATAAAAAATAATTTAATTTTTGTTAATAACGTACATTAAATAGAAAGATTTCAAATAAAACTGAGTGGGTGAAGTGTATTGTTATATTTAGAATTATGTAGGTCAATAGAAAACGTAACAATTGTCTTTCACAACTCAGGTAGCTGAAATTCCGCCGGATCCATCGGAATAGGGTATGACCTTTCGACCTGATTTCTGATTGGTTGAAATATTTCTGCCCTTATGGCGGTCACTGTCATTTGCTTTTTCCCGCGAATACTCCTTATATCGTAAACAAACTCTTTACAAAGTCGTGATAATAAATCACAATCTCCATTTAACTGTGCCTTTCCACAACGTCTAGGAATTATTCTTCATTACATCCGATACGTAGCAGAGGAGAAAAAAAGGGAAAGAAGGCAGTGTAGTAATATTCATGAGGTTCATTAATATTCATGAGTATACAATATCGGGAGCCATGATATTTACTTTGGAAGCCATAACCAATGTTTTCCAATAGGAAGTTTTTGAAGTATTTTAACACCATTTAAGCCACAACGTCGCCCACCGGAGGTAGCACATATCTTCTAAATGGACAACACGTCCATCATTACCCAAGTTAGCCGTGAAGACGAACTACTCAACACATTTCCCGCATCGGAGAAAGGTGAGCCCTATCCAAAGAACGTTGCAAGTGGTCGCCAGAAAATGGCGTCTGAACTGTCGGTATGCTACACCTGCAGTTATATGTTGCTATTTTGTGAGAGATTCTGACCCGCTTAAATGTTGTCGAGGGTGCCGTGTGGTTCTATGTAGATTAAAATATCTTATGCATTACAAAATGAGAGAGCATGCAACCCGGATTGCGCTATCGACACCCTCCCCCCTCGTGTGTTTTGACAACGAGTTCACTCGTCTGGTCTGACATGTTCAATGTTACTAATCCCTATATACTGTCAGATTCGTCAAAAATACACATATTTACAGGGATGAATAGTGCAGCGATGTTGATTTCGTGTGTCTAAAGCCCCAACTATTGTGAAACATGCTTGAAACTAGTGAATCTGTTCAATGTAAACAATATGGTCGAGAGGACAAGGCCGAAATAAGTGCACCCAATGTGAGGTCAATTTCAACCATGTGAACCCACAAGACATTTATTTCTGTCCTCCTGTCTGAGGGATTTACTTGTTTACAAACACTGGAATTGATAAGAAACATAATATATCGAATATTTATATCGTAGAATGTATTTTCTTTATGCAACAAATGGTTTCCAAGGCTGGATTTGAAAATGTTTTGACAGATGAATTATGTCCCTTTATCTATGTGGTTCCCAACAGACGGTTTATTTGTGACAGATTTTATTTTTATTAAAGAGACTCTTAGATTATGTTTTGAGGTGATCTTTATATTTAGAAGTACTGGGTAATAATGAATTCCTTAGCATTTGTCATGTTTTATTGTGAGTCTGTATATATATATTGGCCTATTTTTCTTTGTATCGTGAAGGATGGGGAAATACTGTTGCAAAACATGGTTTACTAACATGGCAAAGCTGAGGAAGAAGTACTAGTAGGTGTTAGCTTATATGATGTTTAACATGTCAAGTGACAACCTCAATATTCATCATGTTCTTGAAACAAAATTCATGTTTCCATAATACAGATTTCTTTATATCACTCTGAAATAGGGCCTACTTTCATTTGAGATGATTTGTTTACCTAACTGTCTGTGTTTCTGTTAGCATAGTTAACCAAGATATTCAGTCATTATGCAAATCAGTCGTTATCACTGATGCTCAAGGTCAGAGATACGGACAAAGTGGAATCCAAAATGATTTCCAATGAAATCAAAGGCAGTTTCTTTGTTTTTTTGTTTAACGCCACACTCAGCAATATCCAGCTTTCAGATGGCGGTCTGTACATAATTAAGTCTGGACCGGACAGTCCAGTGATAGACATCATGTGCATCGATCTTCGCAATTGGGACACGATGACATGCATCAACCAAGTCAGTGTGCCTGACCACCAGATCCCATTAGTCGCCTGTTTTGACAGGCACATTCGCTATTTGAGGCAAGCTTCGGTTCCTGAAGACCTATTCTAATCCGGATCTCCATGGGTATGAAAGACGATGGCAAAAAAGACGTGTTAATAACAGTTTATAGCCTATTTTAACAGTTTATCTGCTTATGGAAAGTCAAACTTTTTGGAAAATATCCATTCTTATCCCAACTGTTGAGAAAGTCTTATGCAGTCGTGAGAAACCATCTCCCTTTTGTTTATTATTTTTAAGCATGTTGTGAAGACATTTCTCTGCCTATATCATGTATGTATATATGTTTTCCTGCTACATTTTATGAAATGATGTGATGTTTGCTGGAAATATGAGTTTGATGTAGTAATGTATTTCCTTATTCTCATGGTTATGTTACTGTTGTTAGTGGAAACTTTCAAAAGAGACTGAACATCCATGGCATCCTTTATTTTTGATATCACATGGGATGTAATGGCCGCTTATCTTCTTCATCTATCACCTTATATTTGGTTTTGTTATCACATGTGGGTGTTGTTATTAAGTATGTTAACACCAATAGAAGATGGGAGCAGGAAAGCTTGAAAATTGAACTTGATATTGTAAACCTATCATGCTTATCAGCAAGCTAATGGCTAACCAAAGTATCAGGTTTTACCAAAGTATCGGTGTGTGGTGATACTTTGTGTCACGGTAGAAGTTAGATAGAAGTTAAATAGTGTGAGGCACTGTATCAATATATTTCATACATGTATATCTATACAGTGTCCTGGAGTCCTAGTTTTCGCCTTCTAATGATTAGGGTTACAATAAGGGACCTCCTTGACTTTCATGCTTAATTTCTAAAACTGCTGTACATCTAGTGAACCAAAAAAGTTAGTGATCATGATTATTTTGGGGGTATTTTCATGAAATTGTGTGCTTCGACTTGACAGAAAAAAATATCCCCCCAAATATTCATGATATCTTGCTTTTCTTATATGATAAGTATACATGGTGTAAGGACAGATCATATGATATGAAAGTGAAGGGGAAATTACCATTTTCTGAAGGCATGGACAAGAGCTCTCAACATGTTCAAGTCGTTCTTGGTTTACTTGTCTAAGTTTACAATATATGCTTTGTTGTGTGTCTCCTCTTCCTCTTTGCTGATGAAATACAATACAGCTGTGTGATACGAGTATTATAACATAGTTGAGTTTTAATGCATGGTGTCACTACATTACTACTTAGATATGTATCATATCTCAACAAAGTGGATAATCTCAGCCATAATGATCAGTCAGTCCCTGCTTAATTCTGCGGCCACAAATTAAACAATTGTTGGTACTCCTGTAATCTCTTACCATGCTTACTTTGAGTCATTTTTTTCACATGTTGAACGTTTATATCTGTAGGATTATCCAACTTTTACATATTGAGGACCGACATGGTAAATAATTCTGGTGTACTTAACTAGTTCTGTTGCCAAAAATTACACAATTCTGCCAAATAATCCGAGGCCGCAGAATAGCTGAATACAGCAGATACCAATCAGTACTAATTTGAGATAGTCAGGAGATAGCTAACATGGGCTAAACACATTGAACAGATCTATGTGGGGCATTGAACACAGGACTTACGTATCTTAAGTGGGACAAGCAAAAGCTTTAACCATGTTAACCTTAAGACTACTCTAGAGGACTTATGGAATTCTTGAGAAACAATAGTATGATGACATCTTCTTTGTTTATACTGGGAAATGCCTGGATAGGGCAGTACTGGTGCCCATTATGAGTTTATCAAGCATCTCGAAACAGCCTCTTGATAGAATCAAATTACAGAGTGGCACATTCTTTTATTCATCAACTTCATGTTAAATAGACACTGAAATAAATAATTAAGACTTTTATAATAAAATATAGAAGTATTCTATTCATTATCATATTTCGTTTTCATTACAGTCCTTCTATTATTAAAGACCAAATTTTTCATTTGAATAGAAAGTCAACTGAATAGCTTTGGATAGGATCTTGAATACCCTTCTCCTAATGAAAAAAACATTTCATAGTTGGAAACATTCATGTCTCTTTCAATGCCTGTGTCAGTTGTTCGACATAAAGGATCTGTTCTATACAAGTCTTTGGTTTGGCTGTTGCCTTGCAAGGCACTCTATACAGTTGGAAGTAGGTGTGCATTGTGTTGGTCAGAAAGGAGGTGCGACACTGCAGTGTTACAAACGTAGGTGAGAAATGTAAGACCATTTCATTACTAGGTTCACACTTCGCAGACATATTCTCAAGGGACTCTGCATTTGGATAAGGAAATAAGCAAACCGGAAGAGAGTAGTCAGGGAAAATGGGAACACATTACCTGAAATGTTTATTTGACAGGATAAAAAATATTGCAAACATTAAAATGGGTCTGACAAGCGTCATAAAATGTTTTTTTCCACCTTCACGCAAATGTTTAGAACGGAACAGGTCATTATTTTCATGATTTAACTACCAAATATATGAATAAATGCTGACATATGTTTTGCGAATAAATTTGATGTGCCCATATCAGTGTTCACATAAAGCATGAAAGTCAAGGGGACCTTGTCGAAACTAAAGATGTAAGGGGTCTGTAGATTAAAATACTATGAAGATCCCAAATATTACCTTCTAACACTGCATTTTTTGATTAATAGGTCATCTAGAGCTCAGGGGGTATTTGCGGTAGGTGACACAATTACCAAAAGAAATACCTTGACACTTGCTCACTAAAAGAGTGTTGTGATTTAAACGTGTCGGTGGCCTTGAAAGATAAATAAGTGTTGCCATTTACAATTCATGTTAATCTGCTCATTTAAATATTTTCACTAATGAGATAGGTGCCTACTTGCTCAGATGAGTAAGAATGCGTTTGGTATTAACAATTTGCCATCAGGAGATCAGTTATGTAATTAAAATGCAGATTTCGTTCAATAAACTCAGTTGTATCATCATGTATCACCGGAGGTGCCACTTAAGATTGGATGTGGAAATTTGCTGGTGGGGTGCTAATTTAAATTCCCTGATAAGTTATTTATTTTAGGAGCAGGCTTTATGTTACATGATTGACGGCAGCAGGAAATGATGAGGTAGGAGCCAGTCACACTGAAATTAGATTATGTGATAATGTTAATTTTGATATTTGATGTTTTTACTGTTAGTGGTTTTCACACCAATTTATTCGGAGCAACACCCTAACATTGATGGTGTGAAAGTTTGAAACTTACAGAAATAATATGGGTATTGTGCATGTTAAGAGCCAGTGAAGATTAATTTGATATTATGTAGTTTATGACATACATAACTGTGACATAACCATCTCATTTGAAACTACTTATACAGTTAGATTACAACAAACAACCCCAATAATCTGGGTTGAAATAGGTCTTCAGCAACCCGTGGTTGTCATATGAGGCGACTGACAGGATAATGTATTTAGGCTCGCTGACTTGGTTGATGTATGTCAGCATATTCCAACTGCATACATCGATGCTCATGATGTCAATCACTGGATTGTCTGGTCCAGACTCGATTATTTACAGACTCCCGTTCAACAATTAAAACAAAGAACATTAAATCTCAGACAATTTTCTGATACAAGATTCTTTAATTTAAT